CAAGTCCGATCGAGAGAAATCAATCTCTTCATGCACGCAATCCCGCCATCCAACATCAGCTAAACGAGTCGTGCCGTCCCTATTGCGTTCCCGGATAGCATTCTTGAGAAAGACCAGCTCTTCGAGCTTGGTGTCGCATGTCCCAAGGACGACCACGGCAGTCATTTCGGAATTGGCCGACTTTTATGCTGTATTGGCAGTCTAGCTTGCGAGTCGTGACGATAGGCGGAATGTGTGAAAAGGAATGCAATTTATCCCCTCTTTAATATACTGTCTTGTCATTACCAAACAGTATCGGTTAGTGTCGCAGATATCACGTCACTATGCAGCAATGGGTCTGAGCTGACCCCCCTTGCGTCCTTCAGGTCGGTCAAGTCAATGGGAATTGCGAATGAACCCAGCACTTCAAGAAATATAGATATAATACTACGCTCGGTATATTGGATGATTGCCAATACGCCGAAAGCCTCTAGGGAACGGGTTGATCAGACTTGCTTTGTTTCTCACGTTTCATTATACCCAGAGCAAGGAATCTTGACGCCAGCGTGATACGTCGTGCAAGGCGATGATTTTTTGCCCTGGAAGAAATGGCTGCAGTATTTGAGCGAACTGTGGCACTCATCACCATTCAACCAGACAAGAGATTTATGGAGACAATAGGCAAAGATATTTCCGTTGTCATGAGATTACAATGGAACCCCACAGCTAAATGTACTTACACGTCACTCCCCTCTCTCCGACCAAGCTTCTTCATCTTTAGCCATAACAGTGTGTCGGATACCGAAATATGGCGCCCCCAACAAACAGGCAAGAAATTCTAAAGGCGCTCAGGGCTCAGATCGCTCATGGAAAGCCCATCGTCGGTGCCGGAGCCGGCATTGGCCTCTCCGCCAAGTTCATCGAGGCCGGCGGGGGCGACCTCATCATTATTTACAACAGCGGTCGCTTCCGGATGGCCGGGAGGGGGTCTCTCTCTGGGCTGATGCCCTACGGTAACGCAAATGACATTGTTGTTGACATGGTAATAAATGCACCCGGAGGTTAGACAAGACACAAAGAGCGAGCAAGCGCTAACTTGAGTATGACCAGGCAAAGGAGGTCCTTCCCGTCGTCAAGCACACGCCCGTCATTGCCGGCGTCTGTGGAACTGACCCCTTCCGTGATATCCCTCGCTTCCTACAGCAGCTCAAAGACCTTGGGTTTGCGGGAATCCAGAACTTCCCCACCGTCGGGTTGATCGACGGGCAGTTTCGAGCCAACCTGGAAGAGACGGGCATGTCGTATGATCTCGAGGTCGACGCCATCCGCTGCGCTCGTGAGCTCGACCTGCTGACGACCCCGTACGTGTTCAACATCCAGGAGACGGAGAAGATGGTTCGCGCCGGGGCGGATATCCTCGTTGCGCACATGGGATTGACGAGCAGCGGGTCTGTTGGCGCAGCTACGACCAAGACGCTGGACGAGTCCGTCGAGTTGATCCAGCAGATTCGCGACACGGCCGTGGGCATCAATCCGGATATCATCATTCTATGCCACGGAGGGCCGATTGCGAACCCCGAAGACGCCGAGTACGTCCTCAGTCGGACAACGGGCATTCACGGTTTCTACGGGGCAAGCTCTATGGAGCGGCTGCCTGTGGAGGAGGCCATCACGAATATCACACAAAAATTCAAAGCAGTTGAGATGAATCCAAAAACATAAGTAAACTGCCGTCTTACGGGATAAACCAGGACAAATCAATCTACTTTCACAACCTTTTGTGGAATAGCTCTTCTTCCAACGGATTAAAGTGTGGAAAATAGATTGTTAGCTAGGTAGCTAAATGATGAGTGAAGGCACACCGCTTGTTTTTTTCTATAATCTCGTATCTTTCATCCTCGCGTGGATATATCTAGCTTTTCCTAGGAGAGGAAATTTACTTGGAAACGTCGAATACTAATACCCAAGTCGAATCAAAGCAAGAAAGCACCTGGTTTTAGGGGTAAATCGGTTTCGTTCTAGCATTCTCGGAGACAAAAGCAACTATGAAGTGACTTTTCTTTTTTTAGAAATAAATAAATAAATTCGCTATATAAAAATAGAGGCTATTCAATGTGTGAGATGTCGAGTCTGGCATCTTCTATGGCTGTTTTCTGCTTTATACTCAAACTCTCACCAGGAGAAAAATGGAGGGGGAAAAATCTTTTACTACTCATATATGAGCCCTCCGATATGTATGGACTGCCTGGTTCTGGTGAACTCGGCTTCAACTTAGGTAGGTACCTACCCTTCAAGGGCTGGATGTGGTGTAAGCCGACTATTATTGAGAAGAAAAGCTCGAAGATCTAGAATTATTTCGCTGGTATATATAATTAAAAAATTAAGAAAAGAAAAAAAGACAGAAACACAAACGGGTTCGAACCATTTTCTCTTAAATTGATACTCGTTCCCCCTCCGAAAACACAGGAACAAAATATTTGATTATCGTCTCGCAATTGTGTGAGATCGGACAGTTTGGCTGCTTGGCTAAGTGCAGCCACAATCATTACGTAATGTGGCACATTGCGCTGTGGCTGGTGGCTTTGTGCCATCTGCACAGCATCCATTCTCTCCCCAATGGCCATTACTAGCGCCTACAGCAAAATCATGGCTCGAAATTCTCCTTCACAGGGACGAGCAATTTGTTGGCACAACAAGCTTGGTCAACGGTGCTATTCAAACCCACCATCTAAAAGCTAACAAATAGGTATACACCTGGCCCAACATGTGGGATGAGCAACTTCGTGGTGCCCTTGGGGCTGAGACCATCTTGTTACCTCAATTCCTAAGGTAGGCTTTGCCATTCCCTCTGACCTCGCCCAAGCAAGTTCTCGGTTGCGACGGCGTGGGAGGATTTGGAAACCACTTGATGGACCAGCCCTCCTTCCAAAACCAGCCATCTAGGGACCAGCGACAAAGGCAGCACGGCTGGCTTGGCCCAAGGCTTCCTGGATCTCCTCTTCAGACAGCCTCGTCTGACCTCCGCATGCGTCTTACCTAATCAGCTACCGGAAGCGCCACCGGAGTTTCCTCGGGCCAGCCTCCCAGCTGCCTTGCGCTGTCTGCCTAGAATGCCAACGAGCAGCGACCTGCGCCCGAGTTTTCAGCGTTGAAGAGGGAGCCGTGGGCGTGTCACCTCGCCAGCCTCCAGGCATCGAAGACCCGAAAGCAGCACTGCACAACAACAACAACAACAACTCGACGCCCAAGTCACGTATGCTGATAAAATTCTCCCACATTCACCACCACAAGCCACAACCTCTCCACCGCATCGAACAACGTGCACGCACCACTTTCACGCCCACGAACATCGCACACCGCCGCCAGCTATTTCCGAATCGCTCCAACTCGTAGCGAATTTCATCTTCGCTACTCAAGACTACACGTGCTCTATCCCACTCTCGTCGAATTCTCGTCGCAATGGCCGGAGGCAAGGGCAAGTCATCTGGGGGCAAGAGCTCCGGCGGCAAGACAAGCGCTGCTGAGGGCCCCAAGAAGCAGATGAGCCATTCTGAACGCGCTGGTCTTCAGGTACGGTGAACTTGATTTCTTTTATTTAATTTTCCCCCCGATTTTCTAGCTTTATTCTCGTCTTGCGCATCAGGCTGAGGGAGCTTGCGCGCCTTTCGTCACCAACGACATGAACCCCCGCGATGTCTCCTTTCCGACCGATTTTTCGACGCGTTGCCTCGACGCACAGCCATCACCCCTCACGACGACCAAACCAGTATCAGAATTCATCGGCATTCTCGCGTCCCAGCTTGCGCGACATGGAATCTTCTAACGACGGGCGCTCGACTAGGACGTTTGATGGAGCTACAGCCTCGCGACATACGATTTTGCGCCCTTGATCTCCTGACCCCTCCGCGATGACGAGGAGAAGCCCGTGCGCCAATTTACCCTCAACCTTGGCACTAACCATTTTACAGTTTCCTTGCGGTCGTGTGAAGCGATTCCTCAAGAACAAGACACAGAGCAAGATGCGCGTCGGCGCCAAGGCTGCTGTCTACGTTACCGCCGTTCTCGAGTACCTTACCGCCGAAGTTCTGGAGCTGGCTGGCGTAAGTTTCTCTCCGACCCCTCACTGTTTTTGTTCATTATGCTGACGCTCCTCCCCCTCAGAACGCCGCCAAGGACCTCAAGGTCAAGCGTATCACACCCCGCCACCTCCAACTGGCCATTCGTGGCGACGAGGAACTCGACACCCTCATCCGGGCCACAATCGCTTTCGGTGGTGTTCTGCCTCACATCAACCGCGCCCTGCTCCTCAAGGTCGAGCAGAAGAAGAAGGCCAAGGCCCTGGAGGGTTGAAGAAAATAAAAACAAAATGAGACCTACTTGAGACTGGTGTTTGTTCTTTTTTGCTTTCAACTTTCTTTTCTCTCAGGGTCAGAGGTTGCAAGGTCACGAAATTAGGGATTGATGGGTTGCTGGGCTGTTTGTGTGTCTTTTATTTTACCCCCTCTCGTTTTTTGTTATTGATGACCGCCCTATGAAAGACTCCATGTGGAGGCCGCGGGTGGTCAGTCGAAGTCGCAAGGGATCTTTGGATAGGTTCAGATGCCGGGGGCTCTGCATTGCAAGATGCGGTGAGGACAGGTTCACAGATGCGGGTCCCCTCTGCTTCCAGCATCACGAGCCGTGTAGTACTTATGGGATGGTCTTGACCTGGAGCTACCTAATATCTAGACCGGCTGCTGGTGGGCCTGGCGAATCCGGTAGACGACAATGTTAAAATCAATGTTTTCGACTCAAATGGTGCGCAAGTTGCGTGTGGAACAAATAATATTTCAGTTTTCCTCCCAGTTCTCGTCCCTTCCATCGTGACTCATATCCTAGCTGCCTCTCTCAATTCTGAGAGCCGGCCTCATCTAGGCTGTTCAAGCAGCGAGAAACGCCATCGTTGTGTTAGGCCAAGCTACCTCAACCCTTCCGCTTCATCATTCTATTGCAATCTCTCATATGATCCAAGCCCAGACCCGTCAAGGCAAATCGTCCTCGTAGATTTTAGGTGCCCCATCTGATGGTAAGAGCGGGGAGGGCAAACGCGAACGAGGGCGTACCGAGTCGGCATCCTCATCTTTTGTTCCTTGGGAACCCACATCTATATCAGCTACAACATCAACCCACCCAACATCACCGCCGTCCTCGTCATCCGAGGGCGGCGGCGATTTGGGAGAATCGGGCATGGCAGGCCTCGGCGACTGGCTCTTCTCTTTGCTGGACAGGGGCGAGGTGCGCCTGGAGAATGCACGCTGAACGTCCTTGCATTCCCCTGGCAGGTGGCAATCCGTGAAGCAGCTGTGCCGTCCGTCCCCCAGCAGCAGGAACCTCTCGCTCTCCATGTTCTCCAGCTCCTGGCTGACTGCATCGAGTCGTTCGTCTGGTACGAAGATGGACGACGGAGTGAGCTTCATCCCGAAATCGTAGTCGCCTGCGGCCCGTAAGCCCTCGACGAAGAGTCTCCAGCGCTTCCACTCCCTAAATTTCTTCCACCCAAGGTAGTCGATGAAATCTTCGCATTTATTATCCCTCTCATGCCCACAGTCTAGGCACTGCCGGACGGCGAGGGGCCAGCCACGCCTCCCACAGCCCCCCGTGCAGCACCGCCATCGTGCGAGCTTAGGGTGAGTAGGCGCATAGAACTCGACGATCGGGGAGGGCGATCGAGACGAGCTGGATGTGGATATTCCAGGGGATGGTGACTCTTCTTGTTTGGTTGGCTGTGACTTGCTACGTCGAGCTCGCTTGGCTTTTCTTTTGGGAGGACTGGAGCTATCTCCCCGAGGCAGCTTTCGCCTCTTTGTGCCCGCGGCCATCGCGTGGTTGGCGGAATTGAGTGAATTCCGTTTCGAGGGAGGGGAGGGATTCTGAGTAGACAGGTTTGATGGTATCGGTGCGTGTTGGACCCTTCGAGATCCCTTCAATTTCAGCCTCGATTGAATGGTGAAAACAAGGAAGCGAACGGTCTGTGGGATGCGTCAAATAAAAGGCAGGCTACATCAATTTGAAGAAATTCATCATTTAATTCGCTTGCTCTTGTGCCGGTGCGTTCTATGAACTCCGCCGGTGCAGATGTTTCGCCCTGCATTGTTGGAAACTCGCTTGCGAAGTGCTCAGCAGCACAAGAAGCCCCAAATTCATTGTTCTCATGAGTATTCATAGCGACAATCCGAAAATTTCGAGCGAGGGCAAACAATGAATTTTTCCCTTTTGATGTCTCTGAAACACCTACTGATTGTGACAGTGAATAAAGGGAACAAGCAGCGCTGTTTCCCTCACTTTGTTCTCACGTCAACTGCCAACAACTTTGGTCACACACCGATATTCTGAAGCATCCGCTTCCCAAGCCGGAAAAAGTCAGGCGTCCCTGCCTAACGCTTGTTTGCTCTAGGAAAAGCATATCGCTGCCAACTGGTTTACCTCGTTTCGGATTATCGCAGGGTCGGTTTCATGGTCTCGCAGGTATGCTCCGATGCTCCGTCGATGCGCATACATCGCGCTGGAAATTGTAATATGTTCACAAACTTTCCATTCCATGGAGCTACCGGGAAATTTAGTGTGCTGGCGTGATATCTCCGTCAATAATGAAGGGCCGAACCAAAAGTTGACGCCGGGGTTCCAAGGTAGGCGCCGTCCGCGACGAACCAACCGACACCGCTCACAACTCACTCGCTCCCCACAGCTCGTCGTTAGATCGACCAGGGCCCTTTCACTTGTTTTAGGGCTAAGAGGGTATTGATTATTGGGGGGAAAGTGTAGACAGGACCATAAGATCCAGCGACGAGCATATCATCAGGGATGGTAATATATTAGGTTACTCGTCAGCGTAGCCATCTGAGATGATGTCAGAAACCGCCTTGTAGAAAGTACAGAAGGCGGAATGATCCTAGGCAGACTTCCGCGGCCGGGCCTATGGGGGGAGATCCGTCAAGTAAGCTCTCATGATGATGGGTGAAGCCGAAAAGAGAATGGGTCGAGCAACCAACGACGGCGTCAGTGAGTGATCTGATCTAAAGCGCCATTGGGATCTTTTGTTTCGGGGCTAGAATGAATCTGGATCAATAAAGGTTGGCTCGAGTGGGAGTGGCCGGATGGATTCCCTTCTCTTCCGCGTAGACATGCATAAGTCTTGCATAATGTCAGCCAAAGAGCAGATTTATTGCCTCGCTGATGCATGCGACACTGGAGACCTCGAAGCACTACCTATGAGGCAGCATCCGGCATGAAGTACCTCATTATGGAGATGCCAATGTAGCAATATCCAGTCACATCAAGATAACTCTTGGAAACGACCCTAGACTGCCAACAGCTACGCAAGAGGAGGGTAGGATGCCCCGCATCCGAAGGCAGGGCTGCCTGGAACCGACTCTTCCCAAAGGCCGCGGCAAAATAACCCCCTTTGACCGGTGCCTATCATGGGGGTTATTAGTGGAATGATGTAGCGTCGTAGATGTTGCGGCCGGTCCTCAGACGGGTCGCCGCGTCAAAACAATTGGCTTAGGTCACTCAGGTGACGATCTTGAGGGTAGGCCAGGATAGGCAGTGAGAGGCAATACATGGCCATGACGGAGCGGCATCCAAAGTATACCAAAGTAAGTTTGCTGGCCAGGCAGGCATCAGTGAAACAATTGCGCCGAGAATAGGTCGTGATTCTTGCCTAGGGAAGCACACGGGTGGTCAGTGGGTGTGGTGTATCGCCAGGTGAGGAGGAGGCTATTCACAAGCGACGGCAATTCCATCATCTGGCATGCGGGCCTATCTCGACGATGGCCCCGTTTCATTTATCATAGTTTGAGGAGGGGGGTTACTGACTGGTCGTTGGCGACAAGCTGATTACCACGGCCATGATGGGAGGGCCGACTGGGCAGATGGGTGTTGCGGCTCCATCAACTACCCAACTTTATCCGCGACTTGCGGGTAGATAGGCAACCGCGGGTTTCCGCATCTGGCAAGACGCTGGCCACTGCAACTTAAAGGCATCATCTGATGTAGAAATGGGTGCTCAGGTGGTCGCGGATGGGGTCGCTACTGGTATGCAAACAATCAAGTTTGCGGGGAAGTGCCAACGAGATTGTGGAGGTCCAACGATGATGCAAAGAATAAGGTTGGACGTGGTGTGGGGTTGGCGAGTGGCTAAAGGGCCTCGAGGGCCTAACGTATGCCGAGACTAGCAGCTAGAGGTGCCAGATAGGTCCTCTCTGGGCTGGCGAGGGATGCCAACTGCCGAGAGGAAGGTTGTGAAGCTTCGGGCTAGGCGGGCAAGGAGCTAAGGAGCCAAGGTCGGGGTTTAGGGACGGGCAAGGGGCCAGATTCGGGACACGCATTGCTGCGAGAAGGCTGGCGTTATCGAGGTAGGTGGCTTGCGGGCGGTGGCCGAGTCTGGAACCAGGTCAGGTCGGACTATAATGGTAAGTGATGGTATGGTGATGGGTTGGTTGATGTTGGGAGTTCAAGGTTGTCTCGCGAGTCGAAGTCAATCTAGCACCAGCTGTGCCGACCTACCCTGGAAGATGGGCTCTGATGTTGACCAACGCGCTGTGCAACGAGATGTCAACGCTGCATGTCGCCGCCTTCCAGAACGGGTGGAATTTCCTTCTCTGTTTATCTCTGTTTATCTTGGTCCAATTGAATGCAAGGGAGACATTCTTCAGTGCAAGACGTGCTGTAGTTGTAGGCTGCCGTGCCCTAAATCTCGAGGACGCGGGCGTCGTGCCTTCCAATCTCTCCAGAACAGGTTAGCACCTTCCCAGCATCGAAGGCAACCTAACCGACAGCTATGTATGTCTCAGTCTTCTAGGTTCAGGACGCGATAGAAACATAACCATTGCAATCACCATCTACGCTATCACACATAACATCGGTCGGAACTACGCGATCGGAAGACCCGTCACAATAATACAGCGATCGGCCGAGACAGACGCATTCTTCTCTGCGGCTCGCCCGCCTACTACATCCACCACCCACCCTTTACAGCACCTACTTCAACTCTAAATTGGACGATTGCCCAGAACCAGTCTCGGCGCCATGTGCCATGACAAGAGCGCTGAACGGCCGTGCGTCATCTTTAGACTTTCACTACGGACCCAAGTCGGCAGTTGTTGGCCCGCGCCGTCAAGTGCCGAGTCGGACGGGGGTGACATTCATGGCCAGGTCGTAGAAGCTCGTGCTGGGAATCATGGAGGACCTAGGTAGGTGCTCTGCCTTGTCCATGGACCGCTGGCCTCTGCCTGATTAATAACCCAGACGAGAGGACCTGGATCACGTTGGTACAGTGCCACGCGCGGAGAGGGGTCTATCTGGCGTCGTATTTCCCACCAGGTGGCACCTACGCACGCACGTACATGGCTACCCAAGTCGCTGCTGATCACCCCACAATTTGTTGGTTCTTAGTCCTGAATTGCACCTTAAAGGAGTGTTCGCATTCTCGATTTACTAGTCCAACGTATCTGGGCGTGCGCGCGCCATGCCAGAGCCGGTAATGGCCTGGCCCACTGGCGCTATCGTGACCGCCTGCTTGCTTGCAGAGTTGAGGCGTGACGCGACGGGCGGCGCCTCAGCCATTGCTCGCTCCTCCACCGCTGCATAAGATGGGGCTATATCTCGCACGTCACGAGGAGAGTGCCCTGCCCTATTTACCGCTCTGCGCCAGCTCCGAAGGCGGAACGCGCTCTCCAACAGGAAACGGGAGCAAGGCAAGGGGAGAAAAAGAAAAGCGCAGGCACAAGGGATAGAGAAAATTCAACCGCCAACTCCACCCTCCGCTCTATGCGCATCCATCTTGCAGCCCCCCCGGTGGAATTCCGTAGACAATTTCGCATACCAAGCAATTCACTGGGGGCGCACAAGATGAGATGCATCTGAAGCGTGGTAATACGACGTTGACGTTGTTTTGGATTGGCGTGGCTCAATGCCCTGCCGACCGAACACCCATACAAACCGCAAAGTCAGAACCCATCCACCGAAGCAGCATGTACGTGCCTGCCAATGCACCTTGCCGTTGACGACAACTCATCACCGTGTTTTACCCCCTCTTTTCCCTCTGCACCTATCATACGATGACAATTTTCTCGCTTTTCCCAGCTAAGCCTCGGTCAGGCGAGAAGAGGAGCGGGAAAAGAAGGGAGAAAACTGAAAACCCGAGTGACTCAATTGGAAACGGCCGTCTCTGGTCTACGATTCGATGACGCCCATGGCAGGCTATCCCGGTCAGCACACAGTGAAATCTGACTACCAGATGGAGGGGAGCCAGGGAATGGGTATTCGGCCCCCACCAATACGACCTTGACCACCCCCGGAAGTGCGTCGGCAGTGTTAGAGTAACCGAAGCCACGGGCTATTGGGCTATTGGGTGCTGTCACTGCAGGTCCTGTGTGGCAGGCGATGATGAAATATCTACCTGTCTTATTGCTCCGTACGGAGCCAGGTGGCGCCCCTCCCATCTTCCAGGCCCCCGAATAAGCGGTACACAATACGCGCCTGACAGCGGGATAGTGCCCATCAATCGTTCATGGGCCATGCACCTATCAACCATGACACTTTGGCACTAGCTCTGCCAACTCTAGCTGCCATGCTAGCGTTTTGCTACCATCAACTTTGCACCCAAACAGCATGCTAGGCGCCCAAGTGCTTCGACTTTGCTCTCCCAACCTTAAAACGAGCTAGGCTTTGGGGACACTGGGGGGAGGGGAGTGTCGCTCGCATGGCCCGACGAGTACAAGGCAAGACAAGACAGGCTGCTATTTCCAGAACAGTTCCACACGGGGTCAGGTACGGGCCCTTGCAGAAGAGACGAGACAGACCGGTCTGAGAAGCAGAA